ATAGCCAGGGTGCAGAGGCTGAAGCTCTGAAGTCTGAGTATCTGGGTTCTGAGGCAGAAATCCAGTTTACACACCTCTAACTTCCTTACAAGCAGTTGGCAAGATGGAGATGGCACATCTGGAACTTTTTGCTCAGCATCTGACACTAAGACATTTCAATTTCTAGTCTTCTCCAAGTCTCTTGTGAACATTCCAGGACCTAGCACAATGGCTAGTCTTGGCTGGTAACTTGACTGTCTGTGCGGTGCATGAAAGCTCATGCTGCTGGGCATGCTTGGGAGAGATTTCCTTAGCCTGGGGATTTAAAGCAGGAACACCCAGCCCAAATCTGGAGGAAGGAAACTGCTTTTTACCTGCTTGCCCTCATTCTCCCTGGGAAAGTCCATCTGTCCTGTTGCTGAGGTGTTCCTTAGCCTGTATTAGAACCGAATTCTCCAGCAATGTAGACTAAAGACCAGCAGCTCTCCAGGAACCTTCGAGGACTCCAGCCCCGGAATGGGACGGCTGAGATACCCAGCCTGGATTGAACTACTACCAAATTCTCAGCCTTTTACGAGAGAGCCTGTCACAAGACAGCCATTTCTGGAGTACCCAGGGGATAGCCTTTAAGCCAGTCTAATAAATCCCATCACTGCCATCTTCATCGTCATCATTGGGAGATTTGCATATATGTGCCCGTGTGTGTGTGTGTGTGTGTGTGTGTGTGTGTGTGTGTGTGTGTGTGTTATATAGTCAGTCTGTCAGTTCTGGTCCTTTAGGCAACTCTAACACTTAACAAATGCCACTAGGAGGCAGCAATAACACATAGAAAAAGTTTTCTATCCTCTCTCTCTGTGTGTGTGTGTGTGTGTGTGTGCGCGCATGAGCACATGAGATGTCACCATTTACATGTACAGGTCAAAGGATAACTTTTGGGAGTCAGTGCTCTCACTTCACCACCTGAGTCCCAGGGATCAAACTCCAATTGCCTGGCTTGGTAGCAAGTGCTTTTGCCTGCTGAGCCAGTAATTTATTTTTTAAAAGATACTATAACTAGATGAAGGTAGCAAGGTCACATGGTAACAAGGTCACATGATGAAAGGCCAAACTATATATATAGTTTATTATATATATATATATATAATTTTAAAACTTTTTAACTAGCTTGAAAAAAAAGAGAAACTGCACTTTGTCCCAGAACAGCACAAATGGAGACTTAAGGACAAGACTCTACTCATTGATGGCCCTGCAGGGTGTAAAAAAGAAAGTACCTGTTCCTGTCTCGGCCGCCATCAGGGATCAGCAGCCATGGCCTGCGCTACCCCATGGCCATGGGCCTCAACAAGGGCCACAAGGTGACCAAAGAATGTAAGCAAGCCGCGGCACAGCCGGCTTCTCGGACGCCTCACCGAGCACTCCGCGTTCGTGCAGGACGTGGTGAGGGAGGCGGGAGGTGTGCGGCGTTCGCACCCTACCAGCGGCGCGCCAAGGAGCTGCTCAAGGAGTCTAAGGACAAGCGCGCGCTCAAGTTCATCAAGAAGAGGGTGGGCACGCACATCCGCACATCCTTGCCAAGAGGAAGCGGGAATTGCTGAGCGACGTGCTGGCAGCTGGGAGGAAGGCAGAGGCCAAGAAGGACTGATGCTCCCTCCCCCCAAAAGACACTGTGCTGCACAAAAGAAGAAGGAGAAGGAAGAGGAGAAGAAAGTACCTGAAAATATGGAGCTAAAGAAGTTTCCCGCTCCAAAATGACCACCTGAGAAAGTGTTTCTTCCCCGCTCGTCTGCCCAGCGCTGGGAGGTCAGCTTTACTTGTTAACAGGACAGAGCCTAGAAGTGCCTGGGAAGAGTCTCCATGAGGGATTATCTGCTCTGGGGTGGCCTGGGGCTATGTCTGTGGGGATTGTCTCATTTAAGCTCTTGGTGTGGGAAGACCCAGTCCACAGTGGTTGGCACCATTCCCTAAGTCCTGAACTACGCGAAAGTAGAGGTATTAAGTGGAGCAAACAAGCAAGCAAAGGTGCATGCGCTCATTTCTCTCTGTATGGAGACCCCGGCACTGTGGCTTCCTCGAATGAGGGGCGTCGCCTAATATAAATTCCTTCTCTCCTCGGCTGCCTTGCACCACCACAGAAACAAAACTAGGACACGTGACACAATAAAAGTTAAAAAGAGCATCGCTGTAATGTTTTAGGAAGGAGAGATGGACTCAGAATTTAGAATGTCTTAGTAACTGTAAATGGGCTCTGTTGAAACTATGTATTTAGTTAGGTAATGAAGGAAAATGTACAAATCAAGTTGCCCCTGGTTACGGGCAGGTTAATGAATATCTTGGGTGTTGCTTTTGCTGAAAATCCAGAAATTTTCTGTGAATGATTTTTTTTTTCTAGATTGACTCTGGCTTTTTAAAAACTATTTATTGCTTTTTTGTGAGTTTCACAGCATGTACCCCAATCCCACTCATCTCCCCTTCCCTTCCTATCTGCCCTCTGCCCTTGCAACCTCCCTGCAAAATAAAACAAAACAAACATTAAATTAAAAAATAAAATAAAACAAACCAAGACATAAAAATCGTTCCTTTGTGGAATCTGAGTGTGTCACAGTGTGTCTCACGGTGTATCCTTTTGTCCACACATCTTTACTTGCAAATTTTCATAGGTCTGGTTTGAGGCCTCTGGCTTCTGCCACACCACCAGTACCAGATTCTCACCGGGACTCAACTCCTGTTGTTGCCCTGTGTCATGGAGACCCTGAAGCTTTGGATCTGTAGGACTGACCCTTCTGTGTGATCCAGCGGTCTATTGATGAGGTAGATGTTGGAGTGGGCCAACTCAAAACCCTGGATCTGGACCTGGGCTGGTCAGCCCGCCAGCTCTTCAGTACCCACACCTCCAGGGCAAGCTCTCCAGCACTGCCCTGGATAGCTCATGCAATGTAAAATGGTAAAATCGAGGGAAATAATGTATCCTATGCTCAACAGACATTTGTGTTTCTCTGACATTTCTTGCAGAAAACACACTGGTGACAAAGTGCCACTTGTATATTATTGGCTCTGACTAAAACACTCTTGATCATCATCTTCTTTTGGTGGGGAGGGAGAGGAGAACGGAGTTTCTCTGTGTGGTCCTGGCTGTTCTGGAACTCACTCTGAAGACCAAGCTGGCCTTGAACTCACGGAGATCCACCTGCCTATGCCTCCCGAGTGCTGGGATTAAAGGCGTTCACCACTTTTCTTCTTATTGCAGATAAATACTCAGACAAAATATATATACGGGAGGAAAGCCTTCTTTATACTCATGTTTCAAAGGGATCTCAGACAGTCTAGGTGGGGAAGCCCAGGCTGAGTGACCCTATGGCTCTGTGCACAGCAGCAGGAGTATAAGGCCCCTGCTTGTTCATGTGACAACAGGAGAACCCAATTCAACTTAACTTCCATAATTTGCCTTCTCTGACCTCCTCCTGTATGCTAGGCCCCATCTCCCAAAGAGTCTGCAAACCTCTAAAACTATGCCACGAGCATTCAAACACACAGCCATTTCACATCCTGGTGGTAACATTCTCAAACTCCTGGGTCCCCCAAATTTCAAGCCAACTCTCGTAACATCAAGTGCCTTTATCTAAGCTTCAGAAGTCCCTAGTCTTGACCTTCAATATTGTTCAAAAACTCAAAGTGCAAATTCTTCCTAGACTTAAAGCAGTGTCTTAGCTGTGAGCTCTAAAACCAAGAAGAAAGTTAAACACAATCTACAACATAAACTAAATATTCTCCTTCCGGTAGGGAGGGATGAAAGAATGACCAGAAAAGACTGGTCTGAAGGAAGGACAAAATCCAGCAGGGTAAAGGTTAAATTCTGAAACTTTCACCCACCATTCCCAACCCATGGTATTTATTCTGAGCTCCAACAAGCTGGGGCTTCCCCTCCCTGTGGCCATGACATTTGCAACACATGTAACTTCTCCTTGGTTCAACTTGGAGTTTGCTGCTTTCCTCAGTGGACATGCCACTTTGCTGCCATCTCCATCGATCCTGGAGGCTAAAGCTTTGGATTCACCCTGACAGTTCCTCACACCGATTCCTCAGGATCAGTACACAGGGAATACGACCCTACTACACATTGTCTGGCCCAACTGACTGGTCTCTGGAACCCTGGTGCAAGCTCCATTTCCCTGTGGCTCTTGCGTTCTACGTGCAGGGGAGAGCAGTGCCATGTGGGTGATACAAACTTCCGCTGACATCTTGACAAGTAGCTGGACCCCCTTGGGCCATGGACGCAAAGCTCTGTGCACAGCAGCAGGAGCTTGAAGCAGGTTTGTTTACGTGACAGCAGGGGGACAGAAAGAGCCACTGTAGAGAGTAGGGGTGTGAGCAGCCCGGAGACAGATGGTGGAGGTGCTGGACAGAACATGAGGGCCTACACCTGGTGCATTCGTGAATTTAAACTGGATCTATCAGCATGATTGTGACTTTTGCTCTGCTTCCAGCAACACGCAGCTACTTAGGTGCAAGCATATAGAAGGGAAGGAGCCTTAAGTAAGTTTGGACCACAGATAAAACAGAAAAAGAGAAGGGCAAAGGAGTAGGACATACCTGGAGGAAGGATGCTAAAGCCAGATGTTAGAATGATAATGAGTAAGGGGAGAATTTTTTTTTTTTTTTTTTTTTTGGCATCATGTAAACATAGCACCAAGGATTCCCATCCAGTTCTGTGGATCAGAGGGTCTGTTCCTATTCTTTTGTGGCCATGATTCTCAAACTCAAGGAAGCACAAGAATTATGTAGCTACTACATCATCAGCATAGATTTCTAAGCCATCCTTGGCAATTTTTCTTTCATCGTAGGGAGTGAACAGATAATACTGGCTTGGAGGTTAATGAACCAGTGTGTAAAAAAGTGTTATACTGTAACAGGGCTGCCCTGTTGATTGTTATGCTTCCTACTTCACAGCCAGGAATCAAGGATGTTTCGGGTATTTGGATCTCTTAGCTAAAACCACAGTGCCATATGGAGTCACGCTGCAATGCTCGAGGCAATTCAGTAACTTTATTTTGCCTTTTCACTTGGATTTCTCAGATGAGCAGAGATACAAATATGATATTCAGGTTTGATTCTGAAAATGACTTCAGCACGGCTTCACTTCTGATGCATCTGTTTTCCAGAAAGCCAGAGAACTGTGCTCTGTTGGAGGAGGGAAAAAGACAACAAGAGAGACAGTCATTTCTCAGATTTTCTAAATAGCTCATCCAAATCAAATACATCTTATGCATGTGTTGAATAAATTTAATTCTAGGAATAAAACCGTTTAGTGTGAGGTGCCGCTGATGGGAAGGAAAAAAATGGGTAAGGATAAGCCATTTATTTCCAAGAAGAGAAAATGAAAGGTTTTATATAACTCTGACAGGCAAGATTAAAAGGGAAAAAAAATCATATCCGCCTTTTATTTATTCCCTATGGCATCAAGAGCTCTACCTCTGTCTGAAGACTATAAGGAAAATAAGCCTGAAAAAAAAAATAGAGCAAAACAACTCTGATTTTTAAATTAATCCCTTCTAGTAGTTTCTCTCCTGATTTGTATGAAGCCTATTGCACTTTGTAAGTTTTGTATTTAACATCTCACTAGGGTTTTTCTAACTTTTATTGCCTGTGTGTGTGTGTGTGTGTGTGTGTGTGTGTGTACATGATGTGGAAACTAGACCTCAATGCTGGATGTTTTCCTCTATCACTATCTACTTTTTTTTTTTTTTTTTTTTTTTTTGAGACAGGGTCTCTCACTGATCTAGTGCTCACTGGTTGACTGGCTAGGCAGTGAGTGCCAGAAATCTACCCTCTACCTCCCAGATCTTCTACCCAGCCCTGGGGATGTAAGCTCAGTACCCAGCCCAGCTCTCCAATAGGCTCTGAGATCTATTACATCAGCCTCCCGCATGTGCCACAGGCACTTTACCTACTGGCCCATCTCCCCCGCCCACGATCTGTCTTCTGGCAATAACAGCTTATTCAGCAGGGTCTTGACTCTTTGTGATTGTGAAAACATCACTGGTTGAACACTTATCCCATGCAGTGCATATAGTTCTATTAATTGGGGCTGGGATGATGGCTCAGCAGATAAGAGTGTTTGCTGTGTAAGTGTAGGAACCTGAGCTTAGATCCCAGCACCCATGTAAAAAAAAAAAAAAAAAAAAAAAAGAACGGCCACCACACACGAATGCCCATAACACCAGTTTTGTGAGGGCTGGAGACGTCTTTCTCTAGCCTCCACGTGTAAACACAGGCACACGTACCTACACGATACATAGCACGCACACACACACACACACACACACACACGCTATCACTTATACATACATACACACACAAAGCAAAAATGTTTCTATCGATTGAACACACCTTATGAGGTATGTCTTATCAATGGTTTACATCTCCCTCTCTGTCTAGGTAATAAGTTTTCAGATCCACTGCCCGCCCCCGGTATATCTATTCGCAATTATGGTCTCCCCAGCTGTCAATACATAGTTGCCAATGTGTCTGGAGAATTTATAATCCTGGCACCAACAGTAACTCCAGCCTCTCTTGGCTTTTCATCCCTACAAAAGCCCTGAATTTGAAGCCTAGGTTAGCATTTGGTTCTAAACGCCAATCAGTGTCAACTTCTGAATCTCACACAATCACACTGGCATCTTTCTCAACAGATTTTGCTCTACTCAAACTTTGCCCTAAATAGTGTGTGTGTGTGTGTGTGTGCGCGCGCGCAAAGGCTGAAGAGATGGCTCAGCCACTAAAGGCTAGGCTCACAACCAAAAATATGATAATTCTTTTGAAATTGGGCATTTCTGATGGCAAGAAAAATAATACTGGATCCATAGGCTAATTACCATCATGATCATTGCTTCTCTAAACTGTAGAATAAAGAAGTCATAAATTATTGTATTATTCAATATTTGACTATTAATTTTTCACACTAAACTTGTAATTACACAAGATGGCATAATTCACCTCAAGGGTCGTCCAGGAAATCTACAACCTCAAGGTTTAATGAAAAGAACTGGAAAGCGAAAAAAGTATGTAAGCCAAAAAGCTTATATAAGCTGCTCTCTCCTTTATCTGATTTTCTCCCGTTACACATCTTTTTAAAAACCCAGTAGCCAAATAGATTTAGTTTCCCATTGTCACTCTGCAATTTAAATGCTGGTGATGGCGAGGGCGGAGCGGATGATCTAACTTAATGGTCCACAGCAGCCTTACCCTTGAAACATTTGGGGATTTCGATGGTGCCATCTATGCACTGAGTCTCCTCAGTGTAGCTGCACTTCTTCTCCTTGTTTTTGCAGTAGAAGGAAACCTTGTCACCATGCTTCATCCCATTCTTAAACTCTTCCTGGATCTTCACTCTCTGTCCATGGTATAGTACCGTGGCTTTCCTAACCGATATTTGGCAGGATGCTGGAAGAGAGGATATCTGTAGTCAAGACAACTGTCGACTGAATCTTTGTTAAAGATGATGTAGCTTCCTATGGCCAGCAAGATGGCTCAGAGGGGAAAGGCACCTGCCACTAAGCCTCATGGCCTGAAATCAATCCACAGGACCCACGTGGTGGAAGGGAAAACAACTTTATCAAGCTGTCCTCTGACCTCCCCACAATGTATGTGGGTCCACATATGCATGCACGCACACAAAATGATAAATGCGTAATACAATTTTTTAAAAAAGCACGTAAACTTTTAAGTCAGTAGAAGAGCACAACGAGATAAATAGGCCAAGACAAGAGGGTGCTAAGAAACGCATGACAGGTGATGCCAATGTGACTGACTGATGACAGATGTTCTGTCAGCGTGTCTGCCTGTCAGTAACGGCGTCCAGCCAAAGCAGCAGCGACTCTTGGGTTCTGCGATAGAGAGCCTGATCTAAGCCTGAGCTGATCTGCGCTCAGATCCCATTTATGGAGTGAATATGCCCATCAGCTAACCACCATGGGTGAAAGCTGCTGACAGCTCACAAATGAATCCTGTTTCAGGAGGCTCAGTGAATAAAGGCACTCGCCACGAAGCTTGATAATCTGAGTTCAATGCCCTTCCCCGGGACCACACCGCAGAAGAACCAACTCCAGAATGCTGTAGTCTGACCTCCACAAGTGGGTCGTGGTACATGTACACAGACACACAGACACACGCACAATAAAAATGTAAGAAATTTTCCATTGCTTTCAGCCTCTTTAATTGTTTTACATATATGTATGTATGTATGTATGTATATATATATACTCAGCCTGACTGGTACATATAGTTCTACTTGTATGTAAATAATTTCAGAGCTGACCACCTGGTATCAGATAGGCAACTGGCAGGGGCGGGGAGGCTCTTTCCTGGGAAGACTCTTTCCCCCACATTCAGCAGCACTTACATGTGCGTAGTTCTTTGTCTAGGGCTGAGGCCCTGTGAAGTGTCCCACTTCCGTGACTATTGCTGTCATCCTTGTTCAAGCCTGGTTCAGGCTGCTGACACCATGTCTTAAATATATTTATTTTTTTTCAAAAAAAGAAGCGACTTGGTTAAGATGAAAGTTCTCAGGGCTCATTCCAGATTCCACTAACCCAGAAACACTGAGGATGAAGCACAGATGTGTGTGTGTGTGTGTGTGTGTGTGTGTGTGTGTGTGTGTGTGTGTGTGTGTGTG